AAGGACATTTTATAGTCTCTAATTTTGAAACTAGTTGCAACACATTTTATTCTTCATTGCACCCACTATTTGGAAAGACCTTTACCTTCCTTTTAAAGACTTGTTTCCTTGCACCGCTTTCTTTAAAATAGTATGAACATTCAATGTTTGAGTACTTTTAAATTTGTTTGAAGATGCGAATGGAAGGGATTCATACGTTGAATTCACCGATTGGTGGAGGGGGATTACCTTCGAGATTTGATTGTAGATTTGTGCGAATTGGTCCTCGCCGCACATCACAGCACCCCCGATGAATCCTTGCTGAGCCTTCGTCCGTCATGCGACTGACATAATCAGAGTAGGACCTCATCACGCAAAAAGACAAGAAAGGTGGCTGGATTCAATCTTACTTTTATTACCCTAGCTAGGCCTACATATTAAGGTATCTTTTGACTTGGTCGGATATCCTATGCTTTTCTAACATACTTTGAAAATAAGGAAGATGTTGAAAGTGAAGGATGCACTTGTGACCGAACAACTGCATCCTTCCCTAACACTCTTTTAAGGTTGCTCCATGTGATTGCGTTCCATTGTACGTGTATCAGCCAATGGTAGATTCCACTTTCCTTATACTCAGGGTGTTAGTTGTTTTGTTGCTTTCTATGCATTTCCTAATCTTCCGCTCAATCATCTAATCTGCATATCCAACTAAGCTTTTGGTATTAAGTCTATCTGGTTTTATTTGTGAGATGTGTTTGGTCAATTTTGGCTTTTGGACCCGCAAATCTTTGGATCTACAGGTCTCCCCCATATAGACGCTACTAAATGAACATAAAATCGTATACTAGGCTTCTTTGAAAAGTGGGTTTTGACATTTTTCCAAAAGACGGCATTACTGTGGAAAATGTTATTTTTCCCTCAAATTGTCCTGATTTTCTACTTCCTCTGTAATTAACCTATCTTTTTCGAGGGCTGGCACGATGGTTACATCAGGACTCCAGTCGTGTGATTCATCTGCTTATCTTGACTCGAATAGATGCTTCCCTCCATAATATTCGTTAGTATTTTAAGACAATTATCAATTAATCCTAATGGGTAATCATTCTAAACTGGAAATTATTCTTAATCGCCTCAATTCCTTCTGCCGATGGTTAGCACCTGTAACCCGCAGACTAACTATAATGGATTTTTACCCCATAACTATTGCTTGAAAAGGAATTAAAAAGGAACCTATACACATTTTTGTAGAAAAACTAGGTTTCAAAAAATCCTTTAATAGCTTGATGTTGGAGCTCGGGCTGTTACAATATTTTGTATTCATTTGGAAGCACCTATGTGAGAAAAACCTGTAGGCCGATACATGAGGTTATCTGAACACGAAACAGCCTGCAAAGGTATGTGGGTTTAAAAATCTTAATTAGCCAAACACATTGTTCGCACAGGACAGATTGGTCTAATGCGATAAAAATCTACAAAATAGTCAACACCCTGAATAAAAGGAATGAGTGTAGGAAATTAAGGGGAAACTACTTTTGGCTGTTGGATAGGATTAGTGAGAGGAGGGGGATAACAAGTATCTCCGAACAAGAAGAGGAGGCCTGAATCGGGTTTTGACTCACACATCACACTTATTTCAAGAGCAATCAATTCACACAACACGCGTGTAATGGAACGCAATCACATACGGTAATAATGCAGGATCAAAGGTAAGTGAGGATGTAGCTATTCGATCACAATTGCACCCGTTTCACGCTCCATTTGCAGCCACTTCAAGTGTCATTCGCTGCCACTTAGCTTTTGAGCAAACAATTCGGATAAACATAAGATATCCAACCAAGCATGACATGTCTAAGTGAGAAGGTTTGAAGTCGGCAACCTTTCTTACCTTGGTGTTCTTGGTTCATTATTATTAAGCATGGTATACTGATCTGATGATGTCCGTCACGTGACAGACGAAAGCTCACCAAGGATTCACCGGGGTCACAGGGCGATGCGACGAGGAAATATTCGCATAAATCTATAACCACAGCTCCCAGGTAATTCCCCATAGCTTCGGGTGCAACCAACATATGAGTCCCTTCAACTCGCCTCTTCAAAAGAAATAAAAGATACTCCAAACTATAAACATTTTTAGAAGTGGGTTGACCTCGTCGCAACTTGGCTTTGTCAGCGAGACTTAGAAGAACGCACCTAGTCCGAAGTCGTCCGCCATAGTAGTTCTCATTATTTCCAGCATAAGACAGTGGACTTGGCATATTCTCAAACATTTCGCGGGATCATCAGTGAGTTTTGCCATTCTCCACATCAAGCTGCGAACTCGTCAAAGGGACAAGCGAAATCAATCCCTCGGCCAAACTTCTGCACAAAACGGTTACACTATATCTTTCTGTCCTGGCCTATCTATCTACTCTTTACTCTCTTATCACATTGTCGCCCTATCACAACTTCTGACTTGTTTACATTCCATTTGTCAAAATGTGTGCTCTTTTGTGGCAAATATAGTGTGGTCTCATCACAATTTCTATTATCCGTCTGGCCAGCTCACTGGCTGCCAGTCCCCCAAAGTTGTACTGTTTTATTCGAAATGGACATCACTCACCGGCAACGTCTTCGCTTTATTGCCGAAATCCTCTGCCCCCACTTTCTTCATCGCGATCCATTTTCCTCCGGTTAGCAGTAGATCCTTGATCCAGACGCCTCCTTTTTGCTGGTCTTTCTTTATTCTTGTTTTCCCCGAGTTGGATTTAGCAGTAGGCAAAATTATCGCTAACTCTACCTTCCTCCAATCTCCTTTTCATTAGATTTTTCTCCCAAAGGATGTCAATTGCTTCTCTTATCTTCAGCTTCGTTGTGTTGTTACCGTATAGGGCTCTCGTTCCTGTTGCCTTCTAATTGATCTCGTGTCCAGTCTGCGATGTGTTCCTCTAGTTCTAATCTTTCGGTATCCATTTTTATGCAAAGCCTCTGATCCTTAATTCGTGTGCTAATTTTTCTCCTTGTTTCGCCAATATATTTCTGTTCGCAGCCGCCGCATGATATACAGTAAACCGGAGAAAAATGGATCGTGATAAGAAAAGAGGGGGGGCGGGTATTTTCTGCAATCAAGCGGAGACGTAGTTAATTAATGCCTGTTCGAAGAAACCAGTACGACTTAGGGGGTCTGGTAGTCAGGGAGCTGGGCAGATAGATAAGCAAACCGTCACATAAATTCGACGTTATGGCCAAAATGTACTAGAAATTCACATAAGATGTCGCATATGACCAAAGATAAGCGTTCACAATCATGGAGACCTTTTGTGAAAGCATTGTCTAGGCCCCCTGATCGGTAAGGCTGCAATGTAGGTGCTCCTATGGCCTTGAGTGAAATCTGTCAACCAGAAAGATAAGGAACAGATCTAAGCGAATATGGAGGAGATCCGGATCGGAGGCCGAGTCTGATTAGCCGATCAAATGAGAGGGGGTCAGTGTGAATAGCAGGTGTGATGAAGCCACACTAAATTCGCCACAAAAGGGCACACGTTTTGACGAGTGTAATGTAAAGAGGTCATGAGTTGTGATAGGGCGGGTATTGGATAAGAGGGTAAAGAGTAGATAAATGGGCCAGGACAGAAAGAGGAATGATAATGCAATAGTTTTTGGCAGAAGTTCAGTCGAGGGATTGACTTCACTTGTCTCTGATTAGTTCTTAGCTTAGTGCTGAGAATGGCAGCACTCACTGATGCTGCCGACTACGATGCCGGCGAAACGTCTGAGTGTACCAAGTCCACGGTATGATGCTGGTAATTATACTAACTACTATGGCAGAGGACGTCGGACAAGATGCGTTCTGGTAAGTCGCCCTGACAATAAGATTAAGTTGCGATAACGAGGCCAACCTACTTCTATAAGTACTTGTATTAGGCGACCTACTTATTAGGCCATTAAGTTATTTGCTAAAATTGGGGACTAACATGATCCTATAGCTAGGTCTCGTGTTTGTTTATACAATTTAATATTTAAAGTATAATATGTACAAACCATTAAATTCATCAATCTTATTATTTAATCCTTTTCTATATTTATATTTATTAGAATATCCGCTTTTTGTATTTTATTTTTTCTTGTCTTTGAGGCATTTTTACTCAGAGTTATGATTTATTGGCAAATACTACATTTTGAGGCATTACATAGGCCTCTAATTATATAAGATAGGTTTTGACGATTCATTTAAAATATTGTTTATAACTACTTAAAAATTTATGCCTACATCATCTTTTTTCTCTGCAGCTACTGTGCCGCATCAATATCTGGCTCCAAAAGATGGTACTCCACTGGCCGGACTGATACAGGACCACGTGATTGCAGCTGTGAAGTTGACAATGAAGGATCGTTTTTTTTCCAGAATGGATTATCTTGATCTCGTATATCACGCCTTGCATTCGACGCTAATGGAGCTTAGACAATCCTGCCCGGATTACACTTGTCCTAAGCAAGGTATGGCACTGAGAAGACATTCCTCGACTCATCCAATTAAGCTTATAAAACCAGCCATTTGGAAGCCGCATCGGTTATGGACAGGAAAACAAGTATGCTACTTAGATCTCTGTATTATGTTTTGAATTAGTGAAAAAAAATTTTATTTTATCCTGTTGGAACTTCAATTTCTTAAGAAAATTCATGCGTTCACAAGTTGGCTTCATAGAAACCTTAAAAGAGACTTGCTTGTGATAATTATTGCCGATTTGGATTCACAAGTCCTCTACGCGTCCTTCACGAATCTCCATAAATCGGTGTCTAAATTTAGTCCATTGATTTCTTCAATCCATACCTTGACGACACATTAGTTCAAGAATGGTGGCATCATTATTACTTATTTCATATAACCTGATTATTATATAACTCTGTAGTATCTGGTGTTTTCGTTCGCTAATTTCATCCCCCTCAATTAATGAACTATACGCTAACTTATTCTTTTGCTTTTACAAGCTAACCTTAGCGTTATGCTGCAGTGATAATATGTATTTTGCTATGTAAAGAAAAATTACGTTTCGAAGAAAGCTTTAAGATACCTTGTTGCATTACTTACCATTTCGAAGGAAAAGTTGTTTGGAACAACTTCGTAATGAACCGACCTTTGAATCTCTTCACCCAACACTTTCAATCGAAATAGAAGCAAGCTCAACACTTTTCTATACACCTAACTTTACGATCTTAATGAGGTATCCTATGATTTGCTTGGCTACTTCAACCTTACTTACATGGTTGTAGATAAATAAAGTTACTTCACAAACCGGAATTGAGTTTGGTGGAGGTTTACAAAAACAAACTAGTGTATGATCCTCTAATTTTTATTCATGCATGGGTTTGGGCTATTGTCTATTGTGTGTATGTAATGTTCATCTCATTAGCCCTTGCTAGTTCAGCCTCTTAATCAGTGGCTCTTCCTGCTCTCTTACTCTATGCTATCCAACAGCCACAAATAGTTCCTACTCACTTTTCTTCACTCGTTCCTCCCATTCAGGATGTCAGCTGTTTCGTAAAATTATATAGAAACCCTTATTTTACGCTTTGATGTTAAACCTCTGTAGCACAAAACGTATTTTTGACCAGTTTATTGTTTGTCCTGTATTAGCTATGTATTCAGTAATCCTAGTTTTTTGTACCTATATACCTTAACAGGCGGTTTTGGGTTCACATAATCTCTTCTGGATGGTTCAGCAGGTATCCCCTACACAGACTTTTCCACAGAACAACACATTGAGGCAAACTAACCTAGACAAAGGGTCATTAACTTCTCTAAACGAAGGAACTACTGAGGAAAGTGCTGCTTTCTCTGAATACATTGCTATGCTGCTCTGATTCGTCAGTACACAACCCACAGGAAGCTAAAATCAAGTAAAATGGTCCAACGGTCTTTCACTGTCTAGATAACAAGCTCTCCTCATCTTGCTACCGACAATTGAAATATAAATATTTACATGTCGAAATAGATACTTTCTGCGTCTGATTTTTGGACGCAAAGATCCTTGCAGGCTGTTGACCTCATGTGTGGTCCTACAGATCTTACCTACCGGCGCTGCCACATGAACACAAAAGCTTGTAACATCCCGGCCTGGAGAGGATCATAATATTCTCGAGAAGTAGGCATTACTGAGGAAAGTGTTATTTCCTTTTTCTAATTAGTCTTGATATCCCAAATCAGTAATTTGCCTATCTTCGGCAGATTAGACGATGATAGCGTAGGGATTCTGACAGAGTCGTATAACTTTTTATCTAGCATCAAATATGTATTTTCCTTCTTCCTATTTGAAAATATTCTAAAATAATTCTCAATCAGTTCTCGTGGATAGTTATTCTCAATCAGAATTCTCCTTAGTCTTGTCAATTCCTTGTCTCGATGTTTAACATCTGCCAGACGCAGGCTCCTCGTGATAATTTATAAATAGAAATTAACACTTTTCTCGTTATTTCCTTCTTTTCGAAAATACTCTTTTTCTCTCTTAAGATGCGGCTTTTGCAATATTTTTTGTTGTAGTGCCTATTTGAAGGATACCTGTAGACCTATACATAAGAGGTTATCCGAATACAAAACAGCCTGCACGGGTATGTTAGTCCAAATATCCGAATTGGCCAAACGCATGGCTCGCACAGGACACCAGATAGATTGACCTAATGACAAAACACATAGCTGGATATAGAGACTATACCAGTAAGCGAAAGATTAGGGAGGCTAACATCATGGATAGAAGGAATGAGTGTAGGAAGTTAAGCGGAAACTACTTGTCGCTATTAGCTAGGTTTAGAAGAAGAGAGAGGGAACGAGAAATACCACCGAGCAAGATGAGGAGGCTTAATTAGGCCGGAATTTTGTTTTGACTCTCAGATCCCATTCATTTCAAGAGCAATGTACTCACACAACACGGGTAAAATGGGACGCAGTCACATGCGGTAACATTGCAGGATCAAAGGCATAGTTTTTTTAGGAGAGGATGCAACTTTTCGGTTTTAATTGCATCTATTTCACTGTTCATCTGTAACCACTTCGCACGTCATCCGCAGCCAGTTAAGTTAACTTAGGCAAAGCATAGGACATCCACACAAAACATGAAATGCATAAGTG